ATTCACTTATGACGCAAAATTTACATGGTGACACGCTTATCTTGTAAATCTATGTAGTCTTTTGTTTCAAATTATTTTCTCAATCTTAAAACACCAATCGGATTCCTATGAGATAGCGAAGAAAATTACATATCAGCTTGAAGAAATTTTGGTTCTTGACTGAGATATTTGTCAAATTTCTAGAGGAGTTTTCCAATCAAAATTTGAAAAAGAAATAAAGTGCTCAGAAATCATTGATTCACACTACACTCAACTTAGTTTTTCATGCTAATTCTGAATATGATAAGTATATTGCATAAAAAATTAAGTTTTGGTGCAAAATATTGCGATTTAGGGGTAGCAAGCTAGCTATTTCATCATCTTTGTAGGAAAAGTGGGATATCTCAGTCAAGAAACAAAATTTCTTCAAGCCGATATGTAATTTTCTTCACTTTCTCATGGGAATCCGATTGGTGCATTAAGATTGAGAAAATAGTTTTGAAACAAAAGACTACATAGGTTTACAAGATAAGGGTATCACTATGTAAATTTTGCGTCATAAGTGAACTGTTAAGGAACGATAGTTGCTTTGAAATGTTTTCAAGGTCATCCAAACTTGCATTATAATACTCATTTCAACATACTGAATCAGAATAAAGTAGTTTTGGAAACCTATGTATATTGAGTGCAAAGAGGTGAAATTTTTCATTTTCTCCAAAACAGAGCATTTTTTTCACTTTTTTCCGTATTTTCAAGGTTTTAAACTCAACGCTTGATCAAAACACAATAAAAAGTACATAATCAGATTCGTCTCGAACGACTATATCAAATCATGTATAAAGCAAAAAAACTTTTTTTTTGCTCCGATTTTGCGTTTGGGACACCGTGTGTCTTATAAACTTCAGTTCATGAGAAGTTAAAATAGTATTTATTATAAATAAAATCCAAAAAACATATATTCTTTTGAGATTAATTTTATTAGTTCACTCCTTTCTTTCTTTTATTACAATAGCGTGGGATTAATATTGCCTTTGTCCACTCAACAATATGGTCTAAGAAAAAAGACAATCAAGACTTGATATATCGTTCAATACCTTTTTGTCTATCACACGATCATTGAATTAATCAGACGACTCTACATGAAGACATTGATACTCGGTAGATCGGACCATATCATTAGCATATTATACACGCTAATACTCTATTTAATAAAGTTATTTTATCAGCTACTCTTCTGAAACAGCTGTGAAGGGTAAAAGATTAAATGCTGAAATTCGTATCCCATACGTAAAACGCTCGATTGCAGCTCTTTGAGCATTAAAACATTGATTTCCTTGCAAAATCCAGTGTTTCATATTTGAAAATTTGTTCTCTGTGCACTAATATAGTATCATTCATAAAATTCGTTTTGATTTGTTCTTATTATTCTCCTAAATGGCAATCGAAAATTATCTATGAAATGTTACGTATGTACTTTTTCTTGCTTGATTACAGGTTAAATTACTTTTATCATGCTAACAATAATATTTAATAGAAGTATTTGCTTATCTTATTCGTATGAAAACAAAAAACCTTTAAATAAACTTCTATTACTAATCAAAATCTCAGTCCATTGGATTGAACCGGCATGGAGATATTTCGATTTTTTTTTATCGTAGTTCTATTTATGGCCAATTTCGTACATCTATTTATCATTTCGTGTCTACCGTACTGAAATTTTAATTTTGACATGCAAATCTAGCTGAACATTTTTTTAAAGCATTTTATAGTTTATTAATAATATGCAGTGCAATAAATAATATAACATCAAAAGAAAAGAAGAAAAACAAGGATAGAAATATAATTGTCCTTTGATAAATTATTGTTTATATTTAGCTTCCACATTTACATGATCCAGCTGGGCATTTGCAGTTCTCACATTTGCATCCTGAATTGCCACATCCTGTTTCTAAATTATTAAAAAAAGCAATAGAAGAATATTATGAAAAAAAAAGTAAATCTAATAGATTAACGTACTCGGTTGTTGGCATTGACAACTTGAGTTACATGTACATTCACCTGTTTTTTTGCAATCTTCTTTACATGCACATTTTCCAGCTAAAGCAATAAAAACAAAGATTCATTTTGAACTTAATAACCTTTTATTTTAGATAATTTACCTTCACAACGGCAAGGCATTATATTTCGAATAAGTAGTTATGTTGTAACGACTGAGCGAGAAAAAAAATGTGATGTACATTCGAATGTGCTCTCTTATTTATAGTACTAGAGAAGATGTATTTATCGAGAGAAAAGGGTGTGTCTTTTTTTTCATTCTGCAGGAGCCAGCGAGGACCACGTCTATGAACGATTTTCATTGGTGCTTCTTCTTTTTTTTTTCTTTTTTTATTGCGTATGACCTTGATCCCAAGAAGAAAAGAAAAAGAAATATGCGCACTAGTAGAAACAGAAAAGAATGTTCGACGACTAATAGTGATCTGGAACAAACTCGAAATAACTATTTCTTTTTTTAATCTTATTTCGGATGAAAAATTGCGTTGTTGTTATGCATTGCGAACGTTATCAAAATGAAAAATATTTTAAAATAGAATGTTTAGTTATTTGCAGTGAGAACATCTATTATAAAATGATAAAGAATATTTTTATGTTTTATTTATCTCTATATTTAAATGCCTAATATTATTGTTCATCAATCATTTCTTTTGTAACAAAAAACAATCCCTACTTAAAGTTATATATTTTTAATATTCTTTCGATTCGTTTATATGTCGTTGATTATGCAGATTTTGTGCTTGAATATAATGATAAGCAACAACTAATAAAAAAAAACGATTACACCAAGAATATTGGCATAAATAGCCAAAACCTTATAGATAAAAACGAAAAATTAAGTAAAATATTGAATTATCATTTTACTTAATCATTTTCAAGAGCCATCGTACGAAAATATTAAATTATATACATATATCTGAAAATGTAAATATTATAGAAAAACGATAATTGCATAGAAAATAGAAAAATTGAATAATGTTCGTTTTCTGTTTTGTCAAAAGAAAATATAAACTGTTATGCTGCAGAAGGAGTTGACGATGATGCTGGTAATGATTTCTGACGTTGTGAAGGAGGAGGTGATTCAAGTTTAAAATCAATCCATGGTTGATTGATTGCACGAATTTTATTTTTATGAACTTTTTCTGTTGTTATTAATAATCCAGCATTTTGCTCGATAAGTTCAGGAGCAACAAGAAATTGATCGAGTGGTGTTGCATTATCAATTGGTTCATTAGGCATTAGATAAGAATATATATCTAATTGACCGTCATTTCGTTGACCAATAATTACTTTGAAAAAATGTGTTGGAACAGCAACTTGATTTGGACCAATTACTTGATATTTTACATAGAGTTTATTATCTGTTGGATCAAGTCTAAAGTAAAAATATATATTGAGGGAATCGAGAATGATGAGTACGGAAATGATTAGCACACAAAAAATAATTAAGTTAAGTATGCGTCTATTGAAAGACTAATAAATGTTTGTGAGTGATCAGTTTCTCGTCGGTCGCCATGGCTCATTGTTGATCACATGGTCACGAAGTGTTATGTGCATACCTCAGTACCATCAGCCATGCAATGACCTTGAACAAATCACTAACGGCTATTTGTCTAAAATCATTGGTCTGATAGCATGCTGACAATGTTATGATATACATCTGCTCTTGTTGGCAAATATGTATCGAGAGCTCAAGCAATTGAGTTCAAAAACTCTGCGTTAGGCTGACTCAGTATCTAGTACCATAGCTAGTCATTATTGCATGGAAATATCAGGATATTGAATCTACCGCTAGGCAGCACCCTATATCGCAAGGTAGCTGAAAGGCTGAAGTATTCTTTCATATTCTTTTCATTTCAATTCATATCTTTTAACTTTATTTTATTGTGCGTATATAACCGTTACGATGCTGAACTTTCTTCGTGATTATCATTATCATGATTAAGAAAAAACAATGTTTTTTTTTTTTTTAAGTTAATAAATACCTGGGAAGATAGAGTGGTCCAGTTAATATCCATAAGCCACCAATATAATGTTTGACAAGTGCACGAGCATATTTTTCTAAATGTGCCCATTTATCTCGATTGAAACCTTTGCCTACCTAAAGATTTAAACAAATTTCAGGTTTACTTTTTCTATATAGATTGAAATGAACAATAAATTTGAGTATACTTGTGGAGCAATATTCGAAAGAAAAAATGTATTATTCATGCTTTCTTGAGAAGATCGATGATCTGCACTTGGAATAAGATGACCACGATCAAAACCAGAACCTTAGGAGAAAAATAAAATTTGAAATAAAATTTAGAAAACAAAATTCCAATTTTATTTTTGTTTTTTATTTACCAAAATAATCTTGATTCGTTGAACGAAAAAATGGATGAACATGATTATCTTCTCGAAATACGGAATTTCCTCGATCAACATTTTTACCCATTGTAATTGTTTGACGTGTTAAATGCTCAATCGTCCATAAAGGGACTCGTGTTCGTTGATCATAACATACGGCAAAGTTTGGATCGAGTCTGCGAATAATTTGTGTTGATAGATCGGGTGAAAAACGAAGTAATGCACCCTCATTTGATGATATTCGTCCATCCCAAAGACGAAAATATGTACTTGTAGCAAGAACACCAAGTGCCACACCAGCAGCAAGCGTACCGATGCCTTGAGCGTAAAACATTCGTCAGATCACCAGCCATCAGTAATTAAATAAATAATGAAGCATCAATATGACTTGATTGTTTCTGAATGGTTGAAAAGTCCAAATCCAACAATCATAGAAAAACATAAATAAAAAAAAGTTAAAATTAAGAAATATTTATCATTTGAAAAAAATTTCTTTCTAAAAAATAATGTCGCCACTATCGACATCACTGGGAAAATAAATAAATAATGCCCTCATTAACTACTTCCTTGTGTCATTGTATATTACGCCTTGTAGTGTCATATCAATCACTGCTTGCATTATGCCTGAACAAACTCAAATTCCTCATGTACTTTGGGCTCAACAACGTGAAACTGTTCTGTTAACAATTGCTGTGCCTGATATTGAAAAAGTTGATGTTAAATTTGAAGAAAATTCAGTTAGTTTTCACGGTCAAACAACATCAACTAATGTTAAAGATACACATGTCTATGCTGTTAAAATTGATTTATATGAAAAAATTGATCCCAATGCTTGTAAATATGAAAATATTGGTCAAAAATATTGGCGTTTATTATTGAAGAAGAAAGATACAAGCGTTGCATTTTGGCCACGATTAACAAAAGAAAAACAAAGTTTAAGATTGTTTGTTACCTCCAGAGAACATATCTTGAAAATTTCCACCAAATCCTGGTNCAATTAAGGAAACAAAGTTAAATATAAAAACAAAAGATAAAGCACGTTTACATTGGTTACAAACTGATTTTAATCATTGGAAAGATGAAGATGAAAGTGATGAGGAAAAACCAGGATTTGGTGGAAATTTTCAAGATATGTTCTCTGGAGGTAACAAACAATCTTAAACTTTGTTTTTCTTTTGTTTTTATATTTAACTTTATGTCTTTAATTGTAAAGGCATGGGTGGAATGGGAGGCATGGGTGGAATGGGTGGCATGGACGATATGCCAGGTATGGGTGATGATTCTGATGATGAAGAAGGTGCTTCAGATGATCAAGAAGCAACACCAATGGCCTCTGAAACCACTACCAATGCTGAAAATAGTCAAGAATCAAAGACACCAAAAAAAGAACAAGATGATGATGAAAATTCAGCTACGGAAACAAAAACAGCTGTTCAGGAATCAGCTAAGAATGAATAAATGGCATAGACTTTTTTCTTTCGTTTGTCTTTCTTTCCAATGTTGTCCGTCCATAGGAAAAATCATTACTGTTGATTTCTTTGTGTTCGTTTGTTCTTTCGTAGTTATCATTGTGTGTGTGAAGCAAGCATAGTTAAACAAGAACAACATTGATATGACTTTTTCACTAATAAATTTATTATTCTGATTTAATCATTCAATAAGATACTTCCATGTTTATCACAATATTATATTTATTATGAAATCATTTCTTTTAGAGACATTTTCCAAGGAAAACGAAAGATGTTCATTCTATAAGTTCACTTAATTAATTAATACAGTGCTATATTTAGTACACATGCAATATTTCGAGAGTTTTTCTAAATTAAGAAGATTATTTCATAAGATAAAGAAATTATTTATAGGTTACTTGAAATTATAATTATTATACAGTAGAAAGGATACATATAGGTTGCAGTTCTCAGTTAATTCATATAAAATAAACTGAATTGCATTGAATTAATTAATTAAAAAATGTTATCAAAATGGAAAACTTACAATAGAGATGATATTCGACAGAAAATAATTATTGCCTTGGGGTTTTCAAGTTAGTTATCAATATATGAAAACTGAGAAGTTTTAACCTTTATCACACGCGTGTAGTGCTATGTTTAATCATTATACGTAGTTTCAGAAAAATCTTTTTTTATTCTCTTATTGAACCAATTGCAATAACTAATACTGATAATTTAATAGTCTGTAGATAATAATGGTACTGAAAAAAATTTTTCATGAATACTGGCAATTTTGTTGAAGATTATGAATAATGATTGATTTCTCATCAAGCTTTAATTATAATTAGTCATGTATTCGATGATGCATATCCAGATAAGAGAACAAAAAAAAAATAGTGGCTGTTGTACATAATTTTCAAAAAAGTACAAATTATACCGATAAGCATCGTCATAGTTTTACACATACAGTAACATTTTGTTTTTGGTTAAAGCTCAAGACTATGATATATAGGTAGTATCTAGTAGACGTGCACTTGGTATATATTCGACTTGACAAGAATTGAAAACTCATTCCTGGTTTATATCATGGTCTGCAAGTACTTGCAGTAACTGGTATGATCATAGAATGAAATGCCACGGGATATAAAGCAGTCGGATCTAATCTTCAATTATCCATGTTGAAGTTAAGCCAAAAGAAGTTGTCATTGATAACAGTTTGATTAAATCATCTTTGCTTGGTCTGTCATTCAAAATAGCTTGCTGATTTTATTAATCTCTTCAATGTAACAATTAATCTTTTAAAACTATTACTGCATGATTACTATTGTTGATCTGCTGTAATACTAGTATCCTCTTTTAAATATTCAAGCTATTAAACATATTTTTATTTTACTGAACAAAGATAACAAAAACTTCATTGACGATGTTCTTTGAACGTACGTTAAATACTCATAACTCTACTAAAGATATTCTATCGATGACGTCATCAACAATCATGAAAACCAATTTTGATCATCTTGTATCTTAAGTCGAAAAAAAAACAATTAATAATATTGATTGCTTTTTGTAATATCGTATTTCACGAAAATGAGAACAAGAAAATTCGAAATTATCTAAACAAATAGTAAAGCGTTCTTAAAAATAGACAGAGATAAATAAAATTGTTCAACGGAAAAATTAGATGTAATCAAATAATTAGATTTATACAGAATAAAAGTCGTTGAAAAATAAATCAGACCTCCACTAAAATTTTCATGGTGTACTATTTTGAAATTAATTGATTTCAAATTCAGAACATACAAAAAGATACTTTAGATTACAAATAACAATAAAAGAATTCTGATCTTTGTATTAATCTGAATAGACTAATAATCGAAACGAATTGTCTTGAATAATCTCATTAGCAGAAGTAATTTCATAATACAGATACTCCGCTATAAAGGAATTTCGCAGTGACATACTTAAACATTGCAAAAACTTGAGAGTGAAGTACGTATCTATCACTGAGTTGAGAAATTTGAGTTGATTTGATGTCACGTGCTTGTCGTCATATGAAGAAAGTGTATATTTCATTAGAGTGGAAGAGTTTTTCTTACCTTATTTTGATACGCTTAGGATATATCGCACATGAGATTGGAAATGGACAATGTCGTAGGTAGTGAAGAGAAGAGTCAATGTATTATATTCGACTAGGATATTAAGCGCTAGTTACAAAACTAAGATAAAATTTTATTCTTGCGTGTTAGTAATGTTTCGAATTGATTGGGTCAAAACAAGATAGAACTCTCGATAATAGTTCATCAGTTCGATGATGTCGGCTAGGAGCGTAATGTGACTGGGTATCATGAGCTTATATTTCTTTTTCAGCTTGTTTCAATTGCTCATGCCACCAACATTCAGAGATAACAATCATCGGTAGAATCTTGCGGTTCTCAAAAAAATGGAACCAAAAAAGTTTTCTTTTTTACTGATAACGAGAGTTATTTAGGGTTTAAGTCTGAATTGTGAGTTTCGGTGTTGGACAAGAGACTATCAACAACCACAGCTACATCCTTTTCATAGTCTTTCTCTTTTTCTTTAATCTTGTAAAGAAATTAATTTTTCAATAAAATCATCTATATCAACAAGTTCGAAAAATGGAAGATAGAAAGTTCGAAAAACATTTTCATTAGTTATTTGATATACTATCAATAGGTCATCGGTTTCCGAGACACTTTTTAGGAATTAAAATTGGAACAGTTCTTTTTTTGTCATTCTTACGAACCGGAAGCGGAACTTCAGTTCTGATTCCTTTTCCGGGTATTTCTTTGGAACCGCAGGACTCTAATCATTGCAGAGTTTTTTTTTGGAAACCACCGGATTCTTCTATTTGTGAAAAAGTTATCGCCTTCACGCCTACGTGCTTATATGTTGTATTGAAGATTACATCTTTCCTTTCATGAACTCGTTTTTGTGTGTTAAACATATCTCTATTGTATTATGTGTGTTATGATCAAACAATGCTCAATTTTCTCTATGCTGATAAGTTCAATACATGTTTTCCATAAAAACTCATTGTTATTGTAATCTCTATTATTAAACATTTTTCATTGCTTTATAAAACAGCAGATGAAAGAATAATTAAGATAACAGATTAAATAAATCAAAGTAACGATAGTTAATGCACTTCTATGTCCATGTTATTACAACACCATTACGAAATATCATATTGTATATCTATAGCATTTTTTTTTCTTTAGATATAGTCGAGATTTTTTTCATTTTAGTGATGGTTAAGATAGTCTGCTAAAGCAAGCAGTAGAAATGATAGTGATTAGATTAGAATGAGTAAACTCATATTTACAACACACTTATATGATTAATACATGACGCCATATTTGCTACAGAAGAGAAAAAAGAAACCTGTTGTTGAGTTAAGAATATAAAAAACAAAGCAAAAGAATAACAAAAAAATCCTTTGTATTCATCTCACCTGGTCATCTATCATACACAGTCATTATTAAACTTTTACTGCCTATGGAATTCTCTTTGTTTTAGATAAATAACAAGGTATCATGAGTGAAACAGATCATTTATTCAATGGTCCAGCACCCATATATCCTCCAACGGAACCTTTTAAAGATATAAAATCAACACCACCACCATCATCATCATCAGTACCGAACGACAGTGGACCTCCAGTTCCCTATCAATATCCACAAGTTGAAAATAATAATGGATGGTCTGGATGGAAAGATCGTGGTTTTGCTATTGCATTTTGGATTCATTTTATTATTGTAGTTGTACTTGGTTTTGTATTAGGTATACCTGCTATTCATGATGATGCACAAAAAACTTATGATGATCCAACACGAACCGTATTTGATTATAATGCTGATTTATTTATTCGTATTTTTGTTGGTGCTGCAACTTTAAGTGGACTTGTTGCATTTATTGCATTTGTTGTTCTACAACGATGTGCTGGTCGAATTATTAAATGTTCACTTTACATGGGTGTAGCAATGCAAATTTTACTTTGTATAACTTTATTTGTAGTTGCTTGGCCTATGGGTATTATAACACTTATATTTGTGCTTATTTCACTTTGGTATATCTATTATGTTCGAAATCGTATTCCATTTGCTGAAGCTCATATACAAGTTGGATGTGCAGCATTACGTAGTCATCCATCAATTTTAATTGTTGCTGTAGGCATGTTAATATTACAATTAATTTGGGTATTTGTTTGGGGTTTAATGGCATTAGGTTTTGAACATGTTGTAAATAAATCAACTAGTACAGATTCATCATCAAGTAGTGCTGGAGGTGGTTTATTGGCAATTTTTTTATTAACATCTTTATATTGGGGAGCATTAACATTTCGAAATATAACACATTTTGTAGCAGCATGTGTTGTTGGTCAATGGTGGTTTACACAAGATGCACATAGACAATATGCAGTTGAAAGAAGTGTTCAACGTGCATTTACAACAAATTTTGGTACAATATCATTTGGTTCATTAATACTTGCTTTTATAAAAGCTTTACGTGTTGTTGCACAAATCAATGAAAGTAATGCACGTCGTGATGGAAATATTCTTTTATTACTTATAAGTTGTTGTGCTGTATGTATACTTCGAATATTTGAAGGTTTAGTACGATATCTTAATGAATGGGCATTTGTGTTTGCTGCATTAACTGGTCAATCATTTCGTGCTGCTAGTCGAAGTTTTCTTGATTTATTTCAACAACGCGGTTGGACAATGATTATTAATGATGATCTTGCAGGAAGTGCTTTAACAATTGTGACTCTTGCTATTGGATTTATTTCGGCAGCTATTGGTGGTGTAACTGTATATGTTGCGATGCCACATTCATCTTCACGAGCTGCTATTGCTGGTATGGCAGCACTATTCTGTTTTACAATTGGTATGGCAATGGGAACAATAATGGCATCAATTTTAAGTTCTGGTGTACGAACAGCATTTGTATGTTTTGCTATGAATCCAACAGCATTAGGTGCAACAC